CTCACACTCTCTCAGTGACTCACTCTCACTCACTCTGCCTCCCTCCCTCACTGCCTCCCTCACTCTCAGTGACTCACTCTCTCTCACTGTCTCACTCACTCTCTCTGCCTCACTCTCTCAATGACTCCCTCACTCACTGTCTCACACTCTCTCAGTGACTCACTCTCCCTCCCTCACTGCCTCCCTCACTCTCAGTGACTCACTCTCACTCACCGTCTCCTTCACTCAGTGACCCACTCTCTGCCTCACTCTCTCAATGACTCTCTCACTCACTGCCTCACACTCTCTCAGTGACTCACTCTCACTCACTGTCTCCTTCACTCAGTGACCCACTCTCTCAATGACTCTCTCACTCACTGCCTCACACTCTCTCTCACTGTCTCACACTCTCTCACTGCCTCACACTCTCTCTCACTGCCTCACACTCTCTCTCACTGTCTCACTGCCTTCCTTACTCTCTCACTGTCTCACTCACTCACTGCCTCCCTAAAAGAAAAAAGAAAGAAAAATCACTCATTAATTCTACTGCCAAGGAATTAATAGTTTAGGTTTTTCATTTGTCCCCAGCCCTTTTTGCATACACACATTATACAGAGACATATTTTAATCAAAGTAAAATGGGAAATTATTAAAGGTAGAAAAATAAGACTTCCACGTGCTGGAGTATGGCAAAGTAGGATACCCTGAGTCCATCTCTTACTTGAAAGTAATAAATTCACAGGTAGGAAGATTTGATCCTGTTGTTTTCAGCATATCCAGTGTTCTGGTACTGACTAGAAGGGGAGAGTCCAAGAACCTCCTCTGACCACAAGCTAAGTTTCGGTCTGTGCTTTGTCACTGTAAGTTAAGCATTGGGCTGCTAACTACAAGATTGGTGGTTCAAACCTACCAGCTGTTCTAAGGGGAAATGTTGGAGCTGTCTGCTCTAGTAAAGATTTACAGTCTTAGAAACGAAAATTAATATATGCAAAATCAATGTACACACACAATTAGAAAGTACACAATTTTAAGAAGTAACAAATCTCAATAGTATAAAAAATATAAAATTCCTTTTAATCTAATGAGAGGTATGTGATAACTTTGAGGTTAAATCCTTAAAACTGTATTAATCTGATATAATTGCTATTCAAAAAATTGATTCTTCTTCCTTTTTGTTGAAAGCCCACAATTGATTTTGCAATTTACATGATGAGGCAAAGTGTTACAAATAGCCAAAAGTCACTTGCTCATAAGGGTAAAGAACTTTCCTTATCTGATAAGAATTATCACAGTTAAAGTTACTACCACATGCATACACACACATACTTACCAGAGAGATCCACCACAGCTTCATGACTAGAAACAGCTCCTTTCTCAATAAAAAGATCTCGAAAATATTCACTGTTAGCTGACAGAACAGACTTATGGGCTTTGTACTCTTCCCCTTCAATTAACAAAGTCACGTCACAGAACTGGTTGGAGAGTCTCTGCTCGTTCAGCTGTTTCAGGACAGCCTGGCAATGCTTGGGAGAAGATCGCTTCACCACACCTTTGGTGTCAACCTATCAAAACAAGGGGAGACCAAGCGCTGTGTTATCTGAACAGACAGAATTCAAAACAAGACACATTATTCCTTTTTAACACACATCACGAACTAAAATGAAGACGTAACCCGACAGTCTTTTTGTTACAAGCGCACTTAAGAAAAAAGAAATCACCACGGCTTTACTATTTTCCGTGTTTCATTCTATTTGACCTAATCAACACCTTTCTGTCTCTTCTTACTCTTGCTCAAGAATTCTTAAAAAAGTACAGAACAAATGAAAACAGGTAAAAGACACAGGCTTAACTTTACCCTTACCACATGACTCAGAGACTGCCTTCAGAAATGTGTTTTATCAATCTACCATTAAAAAAGGAAAGAGAAAATTTAAAAATTGTAAAAAGGAAGAGAAGCTAAATAAACAAACACAAACGATATTAAATGCATTCTGAAAATGGAGAACAGGAACTATGAAGAGATGGTAATAGCATATTTTTATTACTATTACATAATACAGTACATTACCCACACTGTCTGGGTCAACAAGTTCTATGTCAAACACATAAACCTACTTACGTCTTTAATGTCTGTGCCAATCATCACTCATTCGTGTTTAAGAAAACAAAAAGTACAACTACTGATACGGTAGTTATAAACAGAGTAGAACAGAAAGTACCACTTACAAATACAAGTTCATGTTTGGATACTGGCTTCTTTTTCACAGGCTTAGGGGCTGTACTTGCAGGTGAAGTGAAGTTGCTTAAGTCATCCTCTGATTCATTACTTTCTTCTCCAGATTCAAGGTCTAGCCCCAATTCTTCCAACATTTCTGAAGCATCTGATATTGGCCGTGAACGATCTAGTTTCTCCTGACATTTGCTACACTGTTTAATGTAATCTTTGACTTGTTTTAATATACCTACAATGAAAAAAACATTCAAATACCCAATTTAATACCACTATTATTTGAAAATCAAAGCATATAGCATATTATTAATGATTTTCAATCACATCATATACATGAGAAACCTGGGCAATGAATAAGGAAGACCAAAGGAAAATGGATGCCTTTGAATTATGGTGTTGGTGAAAATTAAATGTACTTTGGACATGTCTTTGTGAGGGTTCAGACTCCAGAGAAGCTCATGATGCTTGGTAGAGGCGAGGGTCGATGGAGAAGAGGAAGCTATTCAACAAGGTGGGCTGACACCATGGCTGCAAGACACAAGAACTGGGAAAATGGGTCCGGACTGGACAGTCTGGCTCTGTTGTACACAAGGTCACTGTGAATCAGAATGCATGACACCTGACACAGCAGTGACACTTCACATACTTTGAACACAGGAATGTTGAAACCATATGCCCCATAAATTACATAGAGTTAGTGTTCTGTAATGTAAGGTACATTTTCCTCCCCAGAATAAGGCTATAAACTATTATCTTGTTTTAATGATGAGGTTTCCTTATTTACTTTCCCTCCCTAAAAGGTGATTCTGACAGCCCCACCCATCTTCACCTGCGTTGCAATGCCCTCGTGCAATAGCAACGCTATGAAGCTGACGGAATTCAATGGTTTTTAAACTGCTCCAATAACAATTTATCATGACTCAAGCCAAGTTTAATACCCTCCTGTCATTAGAAATCCCTAGAGCAGTGGTTCTCCACTTGTGGGTCGTGACCCCTTGGCGGGTTGAACGACCCTTTCACAGGGGTCACCTAAGACCCTTGGAAAATACACATATTTCACAATATGTAATTACATAGTATTTTGTGATTAATCAGTATAATTGTTTAATTGTGTTCAATTTGTAACAATAAAAATACATCCTGCATATCAGATATTTACATAATGATTCATAATAGTTGCAAAATTACAGTTATGAAGTAGCAACAAACATAATTTTATGGTTGGGGTCACCACCACATGAGGAGCTGTATGAAAGGGTGGCAGAGGCATTAGGAAGGTTGAGACCACTGCCCTAGATGGTGTAAATGCAGTGGGCCATTAATTGAACTGCTGGCAGTTCAAATCCTCCTTGAGACACTTCAGAAGAAAGCCTGACCTACTCCTCAGAGGCGGTGGTGGAGGTTGGCTGCTGCCGAATTGATGACTCAAGAAGACCCCCGTTCCCAAAGCCACAGCCTTCGAGACCCCTTGGAGCACAGTTACCCTCTAAGACGCATCAGGCTATCATGAATCGGAACAGACTCAACCAGTACCTGATTTTTATTTTTTGGTTGATATCAACCTTGACCACGCAATTTACTCTGGCCAATGGCCGAAGCACAGACTAAGAATGATATATCTATCATGTCTGAACAGGCGCTTAAAGATGAGTGGAGCCAATCTGCGACTTGGACCATGACTACGACCAATCCTCCCAACTGGTAATGAGATTATAAAATAAATCTTTTATTAGTAAATGCAATGATTTTAGAGTTGTGTGGAGCACAAACAAATCATCTAACAGAAATGCATGCACACAAACCAGTGACAGCAGCTTATTCTGAATGTCAGCTTCCATGCGAGGGTGAAGATGGCGGCCTAAGACTTTCTATGCAGAAGTGTCCGAGCACACACTTCTCCTCCTCCGCCTCCGCGTCCTCATCACCCTTGTCAGGAAGGAATCACTACTTCCAACAGAAGACAAGAGCGAGGGAGGCCCCAAGGGGAACCTGTCCAAAGTCACCTTCAGTAACCGGCAGAGCTGGGCCCCCGAAGTCTCTGGGGTTCTCATTCAATTATGCTACTCACATCTCTAATGCAAAAATCCCTCCACTGTGATCCCCAACTAAATGCAAATAAATGGCACATACAATTAGCTACAAATGCTACAGCGATTACATCCGATACAAAGGTAAATTAAAAACACGTACTGGTACAAAATTCACAGAAACCTTTTTATGAAGCAAAAATATCAAAATGTGAATTTAACCTTTCTGGACAAATCCTCCATCCAGGTCTAACACACTTCTGGAGATAATGTTTCCATCTCCCTAACGCTTCCCCAAATAACTTTGTGCTGCTCAATTTGCACCACATCAGAATGACAAGAACTTGAACCCTGTTCCTTTGTTCAACGGGGCATGAGAAGTCTGATGGGGAAGGTTCGCAGGAAAGTGCTCCTGTGACAACGCTCCTGCTAGCCTCAAAGAATCACCAGGTGCAGTCTTTCCAAAGATCATTTTAGTGGGGGCTCTTACAGCTCTTATAACATTCCATACATTGACTGTATCAAGCATATTTGTACATATGTTGCCATCACCATTTCCAAAACATTTTCTATTTGAGCCCTTGGTATCAGCTCCTTTTTCAGGTGCACTGTCTTGATGGGAAAAAATTCCTTGGTGCAACTTTCTTGACCCTTTTCTTAGCAGTGCAGGTTTCATTGTTCTTAAAAACCACCTTAATAAGCACCCATGAACATCCTTTGTCCTTTGAGAAAAAGACTTCCTCCTTTGTAGTCTAAAATACAGTTGCAATAACCTTCGGAGCTAAGCTCTCAGCTTTTAATTTAACTGGCCCAAGCAGTTTTCCTCAGAAGCCCCCCCC